TGAATCCTGAATGTAGCGCTCGTGATCACGTGGTTAGTCTCACCTGTGTCAGGTTGGCCTTACTACTACGTCATCACACTCGCGCGAAGTGAATCTCTAATATTTTGCGGAGAAAATCTAAACTAACCTGCTTTTCTCACTCAGCTCCGCCATTTCTTCGTGGCATTCAAAGTGAAATCACAGGTAAAGCTGCCCGTTTGAATAAAAATCACTTTGTCATCGCAGGTTCACGTCAATATCTCAGCACCTCGCTATTGTTTGTAGCTTTCCTCCAGCTGCTAGCTTAAACGAGCTGGTTGAGCATGCTAGTGCCAGGAGCTAAGGAGCTAATTCCAGCTGCTGCAGAGACACAATGCTAACCACACACAGACAGCACTGAGGAGCTGCGTCACTAGTTAACCAGTAATACTACTTCTACATGTTTACTCATTGCTAGGACTCTGTGGGCGTTTAATCTCAATGGAGTCTTCACTCATGTTAGTAATGAATCCTCTGTCAAGTCAAAGTTATGGTAAGAAATAAGTTTTGTATAATGCTTATTCACAAAGTAGATTTTTTTTTTACATTGGACATTGAGTTGAATCCCACCAGTTTAAAGGCTTGTGTCATCTTCATTAAGACTGAAGTTACAATTTGTTCTGGACAATTGAATTTCAGTTTTGTTTGTGGTGTGGTCTTCAAGGACCAATAGTGATAGGGTTAGGGTTATATACATATATGTGTGTGTGTGTGTGTGTATATAACTGGACCCAGCAGTAAATATGAAGCCTTTCAACATAAATACTGTCAATTTGAATTTCAAAATTTCACTTTTGGTGAGTATTCAGAGTGGTAGCAGTTTCCTTTAGTTTAATTTAACTGAGTCCTGCTCTTTAACACGATTGTAACCTATGTTAATAGACTCCCAGGCCTTCATAATGGCTTTCTGCACTTCCATACTGTGGAGGAGAGAGCTCAGCACTCTGCAAATTAAGAAAACACATTCAAATAGAAAAGACACATACTCAGAAAACATCTTCATCAAGTGAAGTTATCGAAGTGGTGATGGAACTTCACAAAGTATTGAACTACAACCAGGTTCATTCCTTTTTTGGGTCCCTTGGAAACATTTCCGTTGTGAGTTTTTGCAGCACAAATTGATGAAGTTGTTTTCTTAATTTGCAGTGTGTTGAGCTCTCCTGTCCACGGTACATTCATGTACAAACACAAGATAGAAATGAAGAAATTAAGATTTTATTAATATTTAATTTAGATAGGAACTTATATATATATATATATATATATATATATATATATTATATACCTTCTTTTTCAAGTATAATTTAAGTAACGTAAGTCAGTGTCAATGTTTGGTCAGCAGGTGGCGACAAAGTATAAGAGTGATAAAACTGGCAGCACATAAGTGATGGGACAGTCCAGACTCCCAATTAAAAGATGTATATATTTTTGACATCTAAGGACTATTGAAAACATAGCTTTCTACATTTTTGATCTAGAATTTTAACTATAATAATCAACAAATTGAATTGAAATACTTCTTGCAGCAAGAGGAGGAGACTACTATTAGTCTGGTTATTAATTAGTTAAAGTGTGTATGAGGTAACTATAATATCAGTTTGCACAACTCTTATTTATATGTTTAAGGCAGTAGTTCATGGTCAGTGGACGTACTTTTTAAGAGATATAGCAATGGATTAATTAAAATAGCATAATAGTTAAATTAAATACCAAAGATGCAAAAGAATCATACTGTAAAAATACTTTTAAATGTATTAAGTTTATCTTGAAAATATTTTTTATTCTGTGTGGGAAAGACTAAATGATTTATTACATTGCATAATTAGATGGTGTATCTCTTAAGAAAATAATAAGGCAGTTTGTAGGCCAGTCTGTCTGTGTGCCGTGAACCTTGCATGTGTCCCCTTCTTTCATTTTTCAAGGACATTTGGGAACAGCAGAGATTTGATCCAATTCTGGACGCTGGTTTCTTCAAACGCTAAAGTTTGTTTGGTCTCCCTGGAGTCTTAAACTGTGAAATGTGCTTTATAATCACAACCTAAAAATACAAGGCAGTATTTGTTGTTATTGTCTCTGGTTTCGCCGGTCCCCCGGTATGCTCTGTGAAACCCTAGATCTGATGCGCCGCTTCGGCCAAGAAAGATGCAGCGCCCTACAATAGACTATTTTCATACGGGGGAGAGTGAGGACGATAAGGAGACCTTTAGTGTTCAAATCTCTGAGGAAGTCCAGACCATTTTCCTTTAGTGGCCTACAAACCATCAGCCCGTTTTCACCCATCTTCCAGCGATCTGTTGCTTTAATCACCATTTCTCCCGCTCCATCTCTCCAACTTCTCCAACTCAAAACGATTTCATATCCTTACAGAAACATAGCTGCTCGCTGTGATGTGGTTAATGAAAATGGCAGTATATTATTTGCTCAGTTTTTTGAGCGTCACAAGGTTAGTAACCACTTACATAAACAGGAATTCATTTTAGTCTTAAAAGTGTTAATTCTTCTTTTTCACCCAGTGTTTATATAACTACCATCAGTTTAACAGTACTGTCTGTGATGTCAGCCATGAAATAATGTTGTAAAGATTTATGCAAACCAAAAAAAAAACTGTAGGTTATGTAAATAAAAAGATGGGTAATCTGAATTTAGAAGGATTTGGCCTCCATTGTGTCCCTGGTTCTTGGGTGAAAAGGGTCTGGGGCCCCACAGATGGAGACTGTGGCCACTTAGGGGAAAAAGATTTGACTGTAATGGTCTCCAAATCTGTTGATGTGTCTCTCCCCCTCTCTTGCTCTCTCAGATGAAGTAATAAAGTTAGCCGTGTTGGAGGCCCTCCATGTCTCTCCATAGACCACAATCAAGGCCCGTGCAGTTTTATTGCAGTTTTATTTTCATATTGTCCAAGAAATCTCCAGACTCCCTCCTGTGCCCGTTGCCATAAATCGTATATCTTGACTGTATTTCTTCCACTCTGCGTTTTTTATTTATGGGTGAAGGCGATAAAACATGCAGCATGCACTCTGTGTGTCCGCAGCTGTCATCTGTCTAGGACTTTATTGTAAAAGGGAAAAAAATTCAAGTTTCACTTTTTCTTTAATTTCCCTTCACAATTCTCCCTCCCTGTTTAAAACAGATGCTGATAGAAATGAGAGAAAAGTAAAAATGTAGATTTTCATTGTTTATGTCTCCAGATTTTTCTGATGAACAGTTTTATAGGCTATAAAAGCAACAGTATTCAGCTGTGTTTAACAATGAGCTCAGGTGGTGATCATTGCTTCATCAGCAGGCGGTAATCTGAATTTATGAGCTTGGTCAACTCACAACTTCAGATGGAACCTTTTTTCATATTCGCCTGTATTAATCTTTAACATTGTCATCATCTTATGTTGACAGTGCCTTCAAGGTTTGAAGAGAAGTTGGAACAACTGTATAAAATTAGTTGTATCATCGTCATACCATTTTCTGCACAACCAGCACACTAGTGTGGGGAAAAAGAACAAATAACACCAAACATGATTGTGTCATTGTTGTATTTGTTTGTCCTTTTATGTGCAGGGAGGGAGTATGGATGAAAAAGCCTGTCCAGGTGATGTTGACCATGGCCCATGACTGCATCTCTAGTCCTGACCGCACAGTCTTCGAAATCCTGGGGCTTCAAGTTCACCTCTCAATGCTCTCAGGTAAGTCTGACTTCATCCAAAAAATTCTAACATTTCAGGTTCATTAGTGTTTAACCAGAATGGCCCAACGGTCCCCTTATATTCAATCAAGCCGCACAAATATGCCAGATTCTTTTTAATTTAGCTTGATCTTGATCCATTAATTATTCCCTTGGAGATCAGGGAAAATATAAAAAAATCTCTCACAATGTTAAAGTAAATAAGTATTCCCTGGAGTCGCCCCTCTGTTAGGATCCATACCAAGACTTAATGGGTTCTTTCTTGGCCTATGTCCCACCCTTTTTCATCTATTCATTAGTTTCTGCGTAATCCTGTTGACAAACAAACAATTAAACCAGGGAACAGGGAAGCCCATACGAGTGAAAATAACCTTGGCAGAGGTATTTATATTTCACTCTATTGTATTACCCATATGAGGGTCTTTTTTGTGTTTCCAGCTGTTTTAGTAGCCAAATAAAACATAATTAGTCCAAGGGCATAACGTCAGACTGTAGTTTTTGAGTATTTTTTCAAATTGTGTACTTGATTTGTAAATTTCCTTCAGTTAGATATCTTACTTAGATAATTACACAGTGACACCATACAATATATGAGTGATGATGAGAGCCATATGAGCAAAATACCTTAAAAGGATTAATGTTGAGATATTATTGGATGGAATTGTATCAAATGATTCATAAATCCTCCATTACAAATAAGTGAATAAGTATAATAATAATATCAGGAAATAACTCCGATCAGCTACAGAGTTGATGATCTTAGGTCCTGAGAGACGAGCGAGGAGGCCAGTTCACTGCTGACTTCTCTGCATGTCAGTATATTATCAGAGATATTTTCTCATGCTGTCACTCAGCTCCACAGCGTCCATCTCTGTAAACAGCTCGTAGTCAAATAAACAGTCCTGTCCACAGTCCCCCTCTACTCCCATCAGTGAACACTTTGTACCAGCCCACATTCTGACATGTCATGTGTGTAGATAAGAATAGTTTTTTAACAACAGCAACCTGCAACGTTATGACAGCATTAATGAAATGATTACATTTCCCAGCATTTATTATGAATGCCGCACCTTTCCTGTTTAAATCCAATTGTGGTCTCTTTTATGGTTCACTGATGAGAGGTTTCTATGTTAGGCCTATATATATGAACGTATACATCCACACACACACTACACAGAAACACTTGGGGCTGAACCTGTTGTAAAGACCTCATAAAGACTCAACATCTGTTTATTGCAATGCATGCCAGAAGATTCTACAGCTCAGACACCCACCCAGATAAATACCCACCCACTTAAACACATACATAGAGAGGTCTGCCTGTTTTAATTACTGTGTCCAGGCATACACACAGGTGCCAACGCTAGGAAGTGCCCCTAGAAATAATAATGAGATGTGTATGTGTATTGCAAAAGCAAGGGATATGCTCTTGCATGTTTCTAATTTCAACCAGGTCAACAGGTGTGTTGATATAAGATGTGTTTCATTAGCTTTGTTCCTATTACTGTTGCGTTGTTGTGGCTCATGATTAAACAACCTCTTCTGCTTCTCTCCGTCTTACTTTATCTTTTCGTTTCCTACGTTTAAATGCAGTTTATGCATCCTAATCTCGACCATTTCCACCTCTTTCTCTCCCAGTTTGTCTTTTCCTGTAGATCTGTGTTTTTTAAGGCCTGGTTGAGTTTCAGGGCTCCATTAAAAGTTCAAAGGCAGCGTTTACTACTGTAACTGGAGCTAGTCTGCACTGAGGCTTTTCACTAATGAGTGCACAGCATACACACACACACAGAAAATACTTATACCCACACTCCCACACACAACAACACATGTTCCCCTCATGGAGGCCACAGCGACATTCCCCACAAAGTCCGTTGTTACTGCAGGATCCGTGTCCTTCTGAGTGCCAAAGATCTATCACAGATTTAACAACCCTTTCAGCACCCTGTCCCCGTTTGTTCCCCTCTTTTCACTTCTCCCTCTCCTCTCTTCCAAACAACACATCAGACTGCCTTCCTGACAGATGAACTGGGAAATGTGATTTTATAATGTCATCAACATCAGATCTCTCTGACAGCCAGTTATATTTCGTGAGAAAACGTTTTTATGGTTTTCTTTGTTTGTAGAGGTTGGGAAGCATGTCACTAATACATGCATACACATACAAAACATCCCTGCCTACAAGCAATACTCCGTTCAGTTAATGTGGCAATTGACAAATACATTTAATTGAGTTTTATTTTTTTAAATTCATTAATTTTCCTATGTATGGTTTGTTCACACTCGCAGTAACACTCTTTCATACCTTTAAGCCCTAACTTCCTCACTTGCGTCTTAGTTTCATGTCCCACTCTTTATGGGACCATATCACTGCTGTTATCAAATTTCTTACACATACTGTGTGCCTGCGATCCTATATGATGTGCCGACCGTCTGTTATTGTGTGCGTGTCTTAGTTGTCAAGTGTATGTATACTTAAGCTTTAACGTGGACATGCTCCCACAGTGCATAAAGACCTTTACGGACAAGAAAATAACCAGAGAATTCGTTAATGGTTTCACGACACCACTTTCCACAAACCTTTTATAACAAATTTGAATTTAATAATGTTTGTTGAGTCTTTGGAGTTTTGCCGGGTTTGACCTTCCTCTCCGCCGTGTCCGCGGATGTCTGACATTCCAGAGTAAACACAAAAACAAACAGCCCAGACTGCAAGGCCTGGGATTAGACCGGTGGTATAGACATATTTCCACATGCCAAGCTCTGTGTGTGTGTGTGTGTGTGTGTGTGTGTCTGGCGTTGGGGGTTATTTGACTTACTCTTTGGTTTAGTTTTTATGATTTAAATGATAGTTGGGGCTTTCTGTTTTTTTTTTTAATATACTGTACATTTTTTTTTGCTTTTGATAGTAAGCAAAGTATAATATAATAACATTCATAAAGCAGATGTTAGATGCTTCTCATTGCAAATCAAGATTGACATCAATTTTGTTTTCAGCGTATCCTTAACTCATTCAATGTTCCGATTATTTGGATTAAAGCTGCAAAAATAAAGTGGACTAGATTCCACAGAATTTAGCAAAATTACTGCAGCTCCACATGACCCCAAATAAGAAATTTTCTCATGACTGTTTTTGAACCGAGCCTGGCAATAACAATGCTGGTCCTTCCTGAACGCTCACAAGGCCGAACAAATCTACAACTTAATGACCCAATTATTAAAATTACATACACCCCTCATGGTTATTTTTATTGTGTTCAAAACTCGGAAAATAGTTTTTGTTAAGCTTTTTACAATTCACAGCAATTTTCAGCAAGATTTCATTACTAATTCAGATGTGTGTAAGTGTGTGTTTGGTACAGAAGCTGAAGCTGATGGATTCAGGCCAGAGGGGCAGGGTAATGGGGTTCAGAAACTCAAAAAGCCCAACGTTTATTATCAACCCGTTTGCAGCAGACCTGCCTTCAGGGGAGAATCTCCATCAGTGACCCTTGGCCCCCAACTCACAGCTCCCTCCATTCTCCAACGCCCCCCTTCCTGATACCTTCTCTCGTCTCTCGTCTGTGGTCCTGAAATGTTGAAAGGAGAATAAAAGAATACAATGGAACAATATCTGAGGTCATCTGAGCTGAGGCTGCCTTTCCGGGAACAGGAGAGGTTTCTGAGGCAATATTCTTTTTATTCTTTCATTATGGCAGAGAATCAGGGACGAGTGAAAAACATACTTCACAGCTTCTTTTTATCCAAGAACAGATCCAGGGCGATAAAAGTGGATGCTTCAAAACTTTACAGCTTACCACTCTCACTCCTTCCCTATTGCCATTCAGACCCATCGTCCCTCACTCTCCCCCTCTCTTCCTTCCCCTCCATCATTCTTCTTACCTCTTGGGAGCAGCCGGAGTCTGCTGCCTGTTGGCACTGCGGATAATAAACACCCCAACCCACGGCCGTCTTGCACCTTGGGGCAGGAAACCCCATACAGACGCACCTGCATGGGATACCATGACAACAAGGACCATCTGTCCGTCAAACCAGTGACTGAAAGAACCTGTCCTAAGTAAATGCGAGAGGATAAACACACATACGCACTCACAGTTGCCTGGTGGACCTGGGTCAAGGGTTAAAGAACCCTATTTCCTGTCCAGACAGACGAGGGCCAAACACCCCTCCTCTCACTTCCACCCCTTTTCTTTCTTCCTTGTTTCTCCTGCTCCCCCCTTCTCTCTATCTGAGCTTGGTATTCATTGTACTGCATTTTTTGTGTGTTTTTGATTGTGATTGATGCAGTGTGTGTAATGGCAGTTGGCTTAGTTGCCTTAGCTCATCCTAGCGATTATTAGCCAAGCAGCCCTTTTCTCACAGGAGCTCTCAACTGCCGACTGAAAGGCTGATTTAATAACGCGATGGAGTAAGCTAATCTCTGAAACGTTACCATGTTTTTTTTTTTACAGACTACTCTCAAGAGCTTCATTAAAAGGGCATGATCTTATGTTACACAGATCTGAAAAGGCTTTGGCCAAAGATTCCTGTTAGTCACTATTGAAACCAGCTTCTCTAAAATAATTTGTGCTCTGTATTAAATCATCACACTACAGAAAACTCTTAAGTGTTTTTAAGGGCTTTTCAGAGCACACAGGGCCAAATATATCTAGATATGCTTTCATTCGTTTGAACTACTTTATGTAAATGTAATTTATCTCATAACTAGGACCCATCCCTTGTGAGGGAGACAACCCGAGCACGCCTTGTATGTTTTTCAAGCATTAAGAATATATTTGACTACTATTCTGCCCTTGTCTGCATCGGAGCGAGCCTCTGTGGTGCAGCGGTGCTCTGGTAATAGCCTGTGTGCTCTGCTGTGCTGAGATTAATGTGAAGACTTATTGATGTAATGATGGAGCCATGAAAGAGCACTCTGGGCCGTGGTTTGGGTCCAACACATGAGCCTAATGGACTCTGTGTGTATGTTTGTGTGCATGCGTTACATCTGTGTGTGTGTGGTTTTGGTCAGAAACAGATGAGATTAATTGAGAGACTTAACGTTCATAAGAAGGGACCTCCACAATTGAGTCTGTGTATTTCTTTGAGATTGTGTTGCATGTATAAAATACCTGACTTCAGGTGTGTGTTGAAATGTTAGTGTGTCTTTACATGTGTGTTTGACAAACTGTATGACCCCAGACTTCTCTCTGTACTTGCAACATGGTTCTCAGCTGCCCAGTGCTTTCCACTGGTTAAGGGCAGAGCAGCTCATACTGACCCTGCGGGACAGCATGGTTGGAGGCAGCATAGAGGGAGGCTGAGTAAATACGATGTGGTACCCTCACAACTAGTGCCCTGTGGTGTGTTTCTGTGTGCGGGGGTGTATCTATGTCCTCACAGATTCTCTGGTAAGGCCCAGCAGGTGCTGACAGGACCTCCTTCATCTCTCCACTCCCCCTATATATAAATATATGTGTGTGTGCATGTCATTGCCAACAGGCTTGATCTACTCAGAGTGGGTCTGATGTTGGAGTGATTGACAGCAGAACAGTCACAGGGGCAAGTGAGAGCAGTTGTGGGAAGAGAGGGACCTTACAGCCTCGTTGATTTCAGCCCTGAGGGTGAGAGCGAGACAAATACAGAGAGAGGGAGACGGAGAGAGGGGGATGAGAGAGTCTAAACAGATCAAAAACAGTTGAGGAACAAATGAGTGAATGACATCCTGCACAATTGAGTCTTATAGGAGCCCCTTTGTTGGTTTAAGAAAAATAGACAAGATAAAATAATTAAAAGTGGTCTTTGTAATCACCCTGCCTATTCACTGATCTTATGGGTGGGAAACCCTGGGGACCACAGAGGTTTATGGGAAATGGTTCATACACGGTGAGTGATGTCATACATAGGAGACAGACCAAGCTCTCCCTGACTGATACGGTGAAGGGAGGACAAATACTGTATGAGCCACAAGATCAAAAATGCTAAAGACTCCTCAACAAAGCTGAACTGTGATTTCTCTCAGGCCCTTCATATTCCCCTGAGTTCTTGTTAGTTCATGCTCAAAGAACTCAATCTAGGCATTGCCATTTTCCTAAAACATTTCATAGATTAAAAAAATAATTGGCTCATGGTTCATCGGTTTAAGTTGTGTGCCATTAATTTAGTGTTATGGGTTGAAATTTGTGGTATTCATCAACAATCACTGTCCTGCCATTACTCTGGTCTCTGCAGTTTCTCATTTTATTATATAGTGTCTATTAAAACAGAAAAATCTCCACTAACAGTCATTTTAAAATCAAACCAGTTATTTATTATTCGAAAACCCCTCTCTTTATATGCTACAGTTGAAGCTCCAAGGACTCTGAAGTAAACCAGGCATGAACTCACAGGCACTCATGCTTCACTACAGGCCTCGGAGGAGAGAGATGTATCCATCCAGGTAAGTGAATAAAATACTCTTTTTCTGACTTTATTTGAGCATGTGTGCAGGAGTGACAGCCACAGTGTCTGTGCCAGGGCAGCACAGGAGAGAGTGGGCCACTGGCCATCTGGGTTTAAAAGGTGTCTTTAAATGGCGGAGGTGTAAATCTACTGCCCATGTGCCGAAGGGGATGTCCGTTCCTCTCTGGGCCGCAGACCCACTCACAGATCAATAAAGTTAACTCAAAACATTCACACTCTGCCATCTGAAATCAACCATTTAATGAGTTGCTGTTCCTGTAAAAGTGGAAAAGGCCCCTTCAGATTTATTAGAAAAGAGAGAGTAGAATTCCAGAGTGGAGGAAGAAGAGGAAAAGGAGGAGGAGGAAAGAAAGAGGCAGAGCTATAAGGTTTCTGTTTGGATTCAATTCAGGACATTTAAGAACCATTGAATGCATCTTTATGAAAAGACAAATAATGAAAATAGCTTCTTGATCCACTTTTTATGAGTAAGCGTATTTAAGTAGAGGTGATTGGATGCTTTATACAGTGGTAAGCATGGACCAGACAATAAAAGCAACGTTAAGTAATGTAATTTCACTTAGAGTAGTAAATGTAATCCAAACGTGGGTCTGCTTTTAGAAATCATTTCACCAGCAGCAAAATGGCTCCTCAGCATGTTTCAGCAAACGACTATAAACCTTTTCACAAAGAGAAGTGGTTGCACGAGTTACCTCTATTTCCACAGGCCTCTGAAATAACTCATACTCCTGATGATGTGTGAAAGAAGTTCTGGCAAACCAGTCATCCATTTACAAAGACCTTGAGACGCAGCCCTCATGCTTGTATCAGTTTAATAAGAGGGAAGTGTGGAAAACATATTTCTGATGCGCTTTCTATAATGTTTAGGTTGTTAACTTCATGTCATTGAGCTACATTATCAGGCTGAGAGCTGCATGCAGGATTTTTTAAATGTGTAGAGGGAGCATCAGCCACATTGCCTGACAAGAATGACACAGTAGAGGACATACCTCTGTGAAAGTCCCCTTTAATTCAATTAAGCTGCAACAGATTTCACACACTCAAGCCTGTTTTAGACATGAACTCTGGAGGATGTCCGCCCATTGGGTCAGGTTTCTCCTGAGTTTGCCTTTCACACATGAACAACGTCGCAGGAGATTCTCTGCAACAACTAAAATCTGTGGAGTGTTGAGGTGAGGAGTAGCACAGCAGGCAGAGGCAGGATGTAACATATTAATTCCACTGTGGAGATCACGTTTTTGTTTACAGTACTTCAATAGTATCACTAAAAACTCTCTTGCCACTTTCATCACATGTCCCCTTAATATGCCAGATTTTTCTTTTTTCAATGAAGATCCATGCAGTATTGGGAATTCATTATCGGGAAATTGTATTCCATAATTTAAAAAAAAAGGAAAAAAATTCCTGGATCCGTCCAATTGTCCGAATTCCCCCCTATAAATAAAGTGTTCTTTGCTCATATCAGATCATTCTAGGTTTCGTGGAAACCCATTCATTAGATTTTGCAACGAACCTTTGTTGACTGCCTGTCTTTTCTGAAACTAACACCAGATCTTTTCTGCCTCTCCTCTCTTTCATGTTCATTCTTAGTTTCGGTCTTGGTTGGCAACATTGAAACATCTCTGCGCTCTCCCGGGTTTTCCACCTTTGTCTGTTCTGAGGTCACGGCCCATAAACGCACCTTGTCATGTTCATCTAAACTGTCAAACTGAGAATCATCTGATGATTGGTTTATGCTGATGGAGTGCACATTCAGTGTTCCATTTAGTCTCCACTTCCCAGAATCTCTCACTCTCTGCTACCGGCCAACTGTCCCCTGGGGGCCGAGCAGGAAGAGGAAGGAAGATGGATGAAATTGTCCTTTTTATGGCGATGTCTTACTTTTAGGGTTTACATTACTACATTTTGAGGTAAATCCCTCTAGCAGCTGCCACACAGTGCAAGTTGCAGGAGGCTGTGTTACCTGCACCCACTGCTTTTATGGTGGTTGCAAAGAAAATCCTACATGTTAACAAGCATGCATGGAAAGAATTACACTTGGACCCGGTGCCGTGTCTCATCAGGGGTGAACCGGCACATGCTTCGAGACACGTAGAGTGACAGCTGCTGACAGTTGACGTCACAGGTCAGGAGCAGTAAGCACACACTGTTTGGGGCAGTTCATGACATGCAGAACCGTTAAGCTGGGTGTGGAGACGGTGTCTAGTTTTGTGTCCGGGCTTAATAGGCTGTGACACACTCGGAGCAGGAAGGGTAGCTAAACATGTGTGAGGCTCCAGCATATTTGTGCTGCTAATAGGTTGTTTGGGGAAGTGTGTGAGGCTGTGTGTTTATGCTGCTAATGGGGGTTTAATTTGATAAGCGGTTGGCGGATTTGTCAGTGCTGAGCTTAGAAGAAGGGAATTGGGCTCTGTATATTTTGAGTAAACATGAAGAAATTTGCTCCAGGTTTCCTCTTTCTATAACCTATATACTCTTAGTTTGACATGATCATGTCAGACAAAGATGTTATTTATATTAAAAAAGCTTTTCTTCCTCTATGAAAATGGCTCCAACATTCTGGGAAATGCAGTTATTTACTTTCTTTCTAGATGAGCAGATGAATACAACTCGTTTTTTAGTACAGAACTACAGCTAATCTGAGTTATGTAATGAAATCCTTTGCCAATCAGGCACTGCTACCAGAACAAATCACTACTCAGATGTTGGTGCCTGACCTCTGTACTTAAATACTTTAGGGCAACATAAACATCACTGCACATGCTTCGCTAACATTACTCTTCTTTGTAAACATTACAACTCTTTACATGGCATTGAGTAACATTAGCTTACAGTTAGTAGATATCTCAAAGTGGACACAACAACAAAATGCTTAAAGCTAAACGGTCAGAAGTGTATTTTTATTTTGTATTTAATGTGAAAGGATTCTGACACTGGGATTGAAAACAAATCCAACACGGCAAATGTAAATTGAATCACCTAGTGATGCAGGGGATACATTTTGGGTATTTGTGCTTTAAAATTAAATCTAGACAGAGTCACCTGATCTGTTCAAGTGATAAAATCACAGCAAAGCATCACTATATTCACCATGTGTTTCCCCAAACTGTAAAGTAACTAATTAAAGCTACAGAGGTGACTGTTAAAAGCCTCTGGTGTAACTCTGCTCATGCACTCTGGTTTTGGGCCTACAGATACAAAACCCTCTTGGTGTAGTATGGCTGACATATGTAGCTGGGAGTGGAAATGGAGGGGCCGTAATATAGTCACAACAGAGCATTCAGAGCCAAAGGAAACAGTGGTCCCTCTCCTTCCTAAACAGGACGAGACCACACACATGCCACAATGTATTTCTGTGTCTAAATGCATAAAGATCAAGTAGACTTGCTTTTTTGACATATTTGATTCTTGCACCTATTCTATCGTTTTTGGTTGATCCTGAAGTTCCTTTCTCAAACACACTTTTCCTTTCTGTACAAAACCCACACTTCCTGAGGAACCTGCTGTATGAATGGCTCCACTGTTCTTCTCTTATCTTTTTATTCCTCCAGCTCCTCTTCCTCCTCCTCCTCCTGACCAGGAAGTGAACTGAGACAGACTGTATCATCATAGATAGACGTCTCCTCTCACTCTCCAGCTTACATATGCATAGATACGCAAAGAGCACACATTTAGATATAAATGTGCTTGTGAGACATTTTTCTTCACAACCTTGAACACCCACACTCTGTTTATTTCTCTATGTCTCTCGCATTCTCTCTCTTTTTTCTGCTGGCATGGTTCAGACCATTTGTTCCCTTGTGTCCCCCAGCTCAGCCTTCCCCTCTGAAGCATTGTGTCTGCCATTTGGCAGAGAGAACAGTCGAGCAAGTTAAGCTAAGGTCAGATGAATAATGTAAGCTTATATAAACAATTAAAATAATTTTTTGTGACAGTAAAGTTGCTGACGTGATATAATCTACAAACTCAAAGCTACAGCATCATGGGAGTTTATTTAGCGATTGCCTTGCTTTGTAGAAATGTCATACAATAAAAAAAGACAGTGCTACACTATGAAGTGTAGGTATCTTTTTCAATCATTAGAATAATGATACCACAGTCATGTGTAACGCAACAGTTCAGTTGTGTGAATTTTGCTTCTTGGTTGTCTTGGCACAGCAGCGGTGCAGTGAATGCAGCCACTGTGTGTGTGTGTTTGTGGTGTTATTCCAGGTGTTTTGTCAGGAATGGTGTATGTACATCAGCTGGAGACCGGAGAGAGGAGAGGTAACATCCTTCATCACCACACATGGTGTGTGCCTGTGTGTGTGCGTTTGTGTATATGTGTGAGGGAGAGAGAGATAAAGAGAGTATGTCGGCTGAGGAAGTGAGGGCGGATTTTCTAAGAGCCATAGACACCCAAAGATGCTTTGATATATTATATGGAGAAGAGGGGGACGGGATTCAGCTGAGTGTGTGTGTGTGTGTGAGTGATGGTGTGTGTGATGGTAAAAGTGTGTACTCTCTCCTAATCCCTGCTGAGTTGTCCAGCTATAGGACTGTGCTTGAAGGTACCCACAAATGCATACGGCCACACTGAGCAAGTTAAAATCCTGACCTTGGTTTTAGTGCGTGTGTGTTTGCATGCCTGTCAAAATGTCATGTGACCAGTCTACTCCAGGACTTGGTTGCAGTAATATAGAAACTGGGACTTCATAATTTTCAGAATCTCAGTGATATCTATAATTACACAAATTTTCTTCAGATAATTATCATTAGCTGTGTTACAGAAAATATCAGAAATCAAATGTGGTCGCCCTGAATGGCCTCAAAGCAAGCTGTGATGGAGAGGGGGAGTTGCGTAATTGTTGGCAGTCTTGCGACATTCATTGTGCTGCCCGAATGCCTGTGTCTGCCCCCACTGTGTAGCACCTATGCATTGCTTGGTCAGACTCTGTAGAGCAAAGTTACGTAAAAAAGACATCATGAGTTATAAGA